CAATAGGGCAAGCACTTTGATTTCTAGCTTCTTAAACTATGAGAAGGGTGCTCTGGAATTGCAGTGTGTTACATATTAGGTTACTAAGAGAAAGGTCAGTGATTCAAAACCACCAACTGCTTTGTGGGAGAAAGAACAGTCTTCTCTCATAAAGAATTATAGCCTTGAAAATCCGATTGAGGGTCATTATGATTCAAATCAACTTGATGTCAGTGAATGTGAGTTTTTTGAGAGGCTTTAAACTGTAAGATAACAGGTTTTAAAATTTATTGTCTTATAATTATGAATGCACGTATTCCTAGTTTAAGCTATCAGAAGGGACATGCTCTCTCAAAGACTTGGAAAGAATATCTTGTCTCTATTCTGGTAGCCTGTCTTAGTCTGCAGCTACAGCATAACCCTGTACTCACAGAACCATTTTCGGTCTGTCTTTCTATATCTTGTGTATTCTTTTACAGGGCGCAGTAATCAGTTGGGATTAATACCTACCTTACCCCAGTATAGTCACATGCTAGCTTAATTGACAACTTCTGAAAGACTATTTCCAAACAACGTTACAGGTAGCGGGGATTAGGACATTGACACACCTTTTGTAGAATATAATTCAGTTCGTAACAGATGTGTTTGTTCGTTGTTCAGTTTATTAGGTAGAGGGTAGCATCTTTTACTGAATTTGGTGGAGACTTGCTGAAGAACAGATTTAGGAGAAAGTCAAGAGTTCTGATTTTGGTAGGTTAAATTTGAGAAGTCTATTGTGATATAGAAATGTAACCAAATGATCAGATTAAAATATGAGTCTGGAGTTGAACAGGAGGTCAGGTAGAAGACATGAAATTGAGAGTGATCCCCAGAGATGATATTTAAAACTTGGGAACTTGAGCTTACCTAAGAAAAGAGTATAATGATAAAGAGAGAAAATGAAGAGGTCATAAAGGTCTAGAAATATTTACATGACAAATTTGAATAAATATGACATGTTTGGCCTATAGTGAATCATTCTAATTTATGAAAAAATGTGTATTCAGGGGTACAATAGTTACAGCTAAGAATGTATTCTTTCCCTTTGCATCTTTCTATGCCAAAATGGTAATTTTTCTTATTAGTTTGAACTACATGTATAAAGGTTTGTTGATTTGTTTTGCCTTATTTCTGGTAGAGCTTTGTCAGGAGAGGTCTTAGTAAGCAAACGCCAGTCTTCAATTTCTTACATATAGATATCGTGTTAATTTTTAACGACAAGTCAATCTTTCATTTCAAGATTTGTTTTCCTGCCACTGAAAACAGCATCTCTTAACTGGACATGCACTTTCTGATGTAATCAAATCAGACAAACATAGACGAGATACACAGACTCCTAGCTACAAATTTAAATCATATTTATGTTCTTTGAATGTCTCTCTATTAACTGGATTATCCGCACAAGTTAATGCTATGGCAACATGTCAATGATTACTCATATACCGTTTTAGAGTAAACTATCTCCTTGGATTATTGATTTCTTGTGCATTTATGAACAAAGATAACATTTCATGATGCTTTTGACTAACATAGAATTGACTTGAAATATTGTTGTTGTTGTTGTTGTTGTTGTTGTTATGTGCCGTTGAGTGGCTTGCGACTCATAGCGACCCTATGTACAACAGCCCTAAACTCTGCTCTGTCCTGTGCCAATCGCACTGTCTCCAACACACCCATCCTGATTACCCCAAGCACTGAATCAATCCACCTCATAGGCGGCCTTCCCCTTCTGTGCTGTCCCTCCACCCTACCAAGAATGAAGTCCTTCTCCAAGGACCTGCCCCTCCATGCAACATGCCCAAAGTATGTCAGACAGAGCCTTAGAATCCTTGCCTCCAAGGAGCAGCCCGGTTTGACCCTTTCCAGAATGAATCTGTTTTTTTCCCTAGCAGTCCATGGTACCCTCAATACTCTTCTCCAGCACCACAGCTCAAAGGCATCAATTCTCCTTCTATCCTCCTTAGTCATTGTCCAACTCTCTGATGCATAACAAGTGATTGCGAAGACCATGGCCTGTATCAGGAGCACCTTAGTCTCCAAAGAGACACCATTGCTCTTCAGTACTTTGGAGAGGTCCCTAACAGCAGATTTTCCCATGGCAATACATCTTCTAATATCCTGGTTGCTGGTGCGGAGAGTGTTGACTGTGGAGCCGAGCAAACTGAAGCTGTGAACAATCTCAAACTCTTCACCATCCATCCTGATGCTGCCAATTGGCCCAGTGGTGAGAATATTTGTCTTCTTGACATTGATCCTCAATCCATATTGGAGGCTGCAGTCCTTGACCCTCTGCAGCAGGTGCTTCAAGTCCTCTTCAGTTTCAGCAAGCAGGGTTGTGTCATCTGCATAACACAGATAAATCTTCCACCTATCTTGACCCCACATTTCTCCTCATAGAACCCAGCCTTTTGGATTATCTGTTCTGCATACAGGTTGAAAAGGTATGGAGATAGGATGCATCCCTGGCGTATGCCCTTCCCAATTTTGAACCAGGCAGTGCTCCCTTGCTCTGTTCTGACAACTGTCTCCTGGTCCAAGAATAGGTTTCGCATTAGCATGATCAAGTGTTCTGGGATTCCCATTCTTCTCAGGATCAGCCACAGTTTGTTATGATCCACACAGTCAAACACCTTTGCATAGTCAATGAAACACAGACATTCCTCTGGTATTCTCTGCTTTCAGCTAAGATTCATGTAACATCAGCTATAATATCCCTAGTACCATGACCCCTTCTAAACCCAGCCTGGACTTCTGGCAGTTCTCTGCTGATGTGCTGTTCCATGAATGTAGGAAATTAGATATTGTTAAGGAAGAAATGGAACACATAAATATTGACATACTAGGCATTGGGGAGATGAGATGGACTGACATGGGGCATTTTGAGTTGGATGATCATATGATATATTACTCAGGAAATGAAAAGGTGAGGAAAAATGGAGTTCCTTTCATAGTTAAGAAAGCCATTGCTAGATCCATCTCGAAGTACAATATTGTCAGTGACAGGATAATATCCATACGCATACAAGGGAGGCCAGTGAATACCACTATCATTCAGATATATGCACCAACAACCAGAGCCAAGGAAGAGGAAATATAAGATTTTTACCAATTTTTACAATTGGAGATAGATCGAACATGCAATCAAGATGCATTGATAATAATGGGTGACTGGAATGCAAAAGTTGGGAATACAGAAAAAGATTCAGTAGTTGGAACACCTGGACTCGCTGACAGAAATGGAGCTGGAGAGAGGATGATAGAATTTTGCACAATGACTTATTCATCGCAAATACGTTTTTTAAGAGACATAAATGCAGGTTATATACATGGATTTCATCTGATGGTATGCATAGGAATCAGATTGATTACATCTGCGGAAAGAACCGCTGGAGAAGCTCAATATCAGTTGTGAAAACTAGGCCAGGAGCTGATTGTGGAACAGACCACCAACTACTCATAGGAAAGTTCAAGCTTGAGCTGAGGAAAATTAAACCAAGTCCACAGGAACCAAAATATGTCTTCGAGTCTATCCCACCTGAATTTTAGACCCAGCTCAAGAACAGGTTTGAGGCCTTGAACACTAATGAGCGAAGACTTAAAATATATCTTTGAAAATTATAAGCATGGATTTAAATAGTATTTTCCAAGATAACTAGTTGTCATAAAAGTTCTTTACAGATTAAATGTTATATTTCCGAGAAGAAACAGTGACCTTTTGAAGTCTAGATTACGAAAGATGGGGATTTTTTTGTTGATTTTTTTTTCTTTTTAGTTGCAAAGTCAGAAATACATTTTATTCAGGCATGGTATGTAAAAGGGAAAAGATCATAGGGTAAAGAGTGGGAGAATCAGACAGCAGAATTAACAGGACAGTTAGTGAACAAAATTTTTTTAATAGGCAATATTCAAGATGTATGCATACAAGGTTACACAGTTTGGTGGATGGAAGGAGGCAGGAAAGGAAAGGGGAAGGATCCTGGCGAAAAGATGGGATAATAATGGGCAGGTCCAATGGTTTTATGAAACATGGTGCATGAGAATGATTATATGAAACACAGTGTGAATGAAGAATAGGCTGAAACAATGTATACTGAACTTTGTAAGCAAACCACTAATAATAATAAAAATAGATGTATGTGTGCTATTATAAATACAAAGAAAATATTATTTCATGCTGGTATTTTTTTCAATCTACAACTGCATCTAAGTTTTTCTTTTAACAAAATACACCATATGCACAATGATGATGGAAATACTAAAGCATTTTTTAAAAATAATTTTTATTAATTATTTTATTATGAAGAATATCTGTATTATTCACATACATTGTGATGTACATGTACAAAGTGTTCCATATAGTCCTTCATTTATATTCTATATCCTTCATTTATATCAAAGCCTACACACCAGCTATTTCATGCCTCATACCCTACTATCTCCCTTTTAGATAGCCATTTGCTGATTTGCCCATCCCTTTTAAAGCAGTCCTCTGAGGAAACAAGCGCATCCCTTTTGTTGAAGGAACTTGTTCAGCTTGGGAATTTGCTAGACAAAGTCCAGTCCAGAGCAAGCCTTCAGGAAGCAACAACACTAGCTCATAGCATGGATCTTCTACCCTTCATCTGGCTGGGTTCTGGTCGACTCATCCCCCATCATCTGTGGCCAGGTTTAAATGGGCATCAGCTTCAAGTTCAGGAGTTCACACTTCTGTCTGCACCCCAGATCTGCTGGTGTTCTCTCACTCAGCCCCAACCTCCACATGGGGCCACGTCAGGAAATACAGCTTAAACTCTTGATTCCACTTTCTTATTACAGTAAGCGGGAGGGCAATGGCTGGGTTGCAGTTGGGTTATGATGTTCATCATATCTTGATGAAAATGACACGTTGATGATAAATATTACCAATTCAATCTAAATACTTTGAAATGGGGGAAATGCCAAAACAACTCTTCTGTTCATTGGCAGATGTTTTTCTTCAACAGGAGGTTATCTCATTCAAGACTTGTTCAGCTGTATGGAGTCTGTATACAGCGGAGGCCCCTTTATATTGTGACAGAGTTCATGGAAAATGGCTGCCTCCTGAATTACCTCAGGGAAAGGAAAGGCAACCTCAGAAAGGAAGTGCTGCTGAGCATGTGTCAGGACGTATGTGAAGGAATGGCGTATCTGGAGGAAAACTGCTTCATCCATCGAGATTTAGTAAGTACGGTGCAACGTCCCTTAGTATTTTTGTATTGTCCTTATATTCAGATGCAAATGATCATTTTCTCCAATATTTGAATAATATATTCTTACATACATTTTAAAACATTCTTTTTTCTTTTCTTTTTTTATTATTATTCATTTTAATGAAAGTTTACAGAGACTTTGGTTTTCCATTAATTCATTGTTGCACTTATAATTTAAAATATTCTTATCCATAGAACTGTTTTTAAGGTGTAACTTTTTAAAAAAAGTTGTACACTAATGCTCTAGCCAAATAAGATTTACTCCAAATAAGACTTGAAGTAATTATTCATGAATAATCCATTACTTTTTCTCTTTCTCTTCTTTCCTTCTTCCTCCGCCTTCCCCTTCCTCTCTTTTTTAGCCAAATATCAGCTACATATTGAATGTCTAGTATATGCCAAGTACTCTGGTAGGCTCTGGAGATCTATCTAATAGCAAAGGACAAGCTCCAGTGTCTCTAAATCAGGAACAAAACTGCCTCCATGCAGAGATGGTTTGGGGAAACCATTACTAGTTTATGGGAGAGGAGTAGAAATACTAGATCATTCAGGTCTGTAATATTTGAGCTAGATTATCTTGCCCAAAATGCTAAAAGCACTAATGATTCCTAGTCTTGTCATCTGCCCACATTCACTCCACATCTATTCATATCATTCCTTCTACGTACTTCTGTCTTCTAACTTTGTCTTACATATTTTGGGGATATTGCTAGGAGAGGTTATTCATTAGAGAGGGAGATCATTCTTGGGAAGGTAGAGAGAAAGGGAAAGAGAGGAAGACCTTCAACGAGGTGGAGTGAGCCAGTCAGTGATTGCAGCAATAGGCAAGGATGTCGGAGATGGTGAGGATGGTACAGAAAAGGAAAAGGTTCAGATCTGTTGTTCATAGAGGCACTATCAGTCATACTCAGCTTGAGGGTACCTATATACTTATTTTTTTAAAATT